AACAGATTAGTTAATTTTATTTCATTGGACTAACAAGATGACAAGCATGATGACAGCCCATTAATTGCATACCATTAATTACAGAGGGCATGACAATTTAAAATGTAAAAAATGAAAGATTTGCAGACTTAATGATCATTAATGAATCCCTTAAAATATACAAACATATACCAGTAAAAGTAAAGTGGAACATAGTGTAATAAATGAGTACCAGGGGCGGACTGACCATTTGGAAACTCTGGCACTGCCCGATGGCCCGGGGTCAGTAGGGGGCCCCATGAGATGCCCCTGGTACCTTTTTCATAGGCTTTTTTGAGCTTGGGCAAAGACACAGGGGCCCCATGATCCCCTATTGCCCGGGGGCCCCATGAGTTGTCAGTCCGCCCCTGATGAGTACCACTCATCTTTCATGATATATAAAATATATTAATATTATAATAAATTACATAGAGTACTTGTCATTCCTCAAAATAGTCCTGAATACCTATCTAAATAGTAGCCAACCTTTATTGTTTAATTCTTTGGGGGGGGGGTTTTTTTACCCTTTTTTAACTAGTTTTCTATTGATATTCTTTAATAACTATTGTACATTTAAACATGCAAAGATCTGTTATCCTTTCAGCTGAGAATAGGAGCTTTTACAACAATTTCACATTTGAACAACATATTATTTGCAGCGAACTGAAAGATCCAGATATTGTTGCTGCAAAATGCTCACTATTAATTGTTTAACTCCCATTTACTACCCAATAATTCCATTAGACTTTGGATGGTTTGCTGGCTGGAGAGATGGAAGGGTGTAGAATTTACACCATATCCCTGAGATATTATATTTTAAAAAAAAAACAGTAGATGTTGAAAAATGCTGGTGAGCTACTGAGTGAATTTAAAGTTAATTTGCTGCACTGCTACCTGTCTTTGATTTAGGCAAACGTTATGTGAAGCTGGAACCCCTCTCTGTTTTTTGACTGCTGTTTGAGGCTCCATTGAGAGTTTATACCCTAATTCCTGTTTTGATTACATTGTTTTACCAAAAAGAAAATGAGGGGAACTCTCTAACAAGACAGAACAGTTTGGTTGGACATACACTTTAAATCACTTACATTATGGTCACTGCCAGGTGCCACACAGACAGGCCATTGGGGGTGGGGGACCCATCACAATTTTTCTCTGGGGCCCCATGAACTGTTGTTAAGCACCCGTTCATGACAATCTCTAACAATGTATTTATGTAAGTCCTAAATAGTTATTGTTAAACATACAACAGTAAGTTAGCAAACTCCACTTACCTGCCGAAACAGAAGATAAAGAAACAAGAAGCCATAATTTAATGCAGGTTATCATTTTGATGTTGTCCTCTCTAGAATACTGGGTGCGTTGATGAACAGAATGAGTATGACAAGTTTTTGAAAGATGTGACTACAGACCTCTAAGGAACACTAAATAGCAAATGAGATGCTTTAGATAACTGCATGTTTCACATTTCTTCAAATTCACCCTTAAGAAAACATGTTAGTCCTGTTTTCTGCTATGCAAAATCATTGTCTTAAGGAAACCCACAAGGGGCTAAGTGCAACTTATTGTCCTGCTTGCCACTGAAATGTGACAAAACCAGTTCCAAGAACATTGCTAGGGGAGGGGGAAATAGACCTCATTTTTGAGTAAACATTTCAAAATACACCCATTTTTCACTCACTGAAAAGGAGGATTTGCAACCGAAAAATAGTACAAATGATAAAATTCACATAAAATATTGATTGAAATAATTAAATAATAATGCATTGGTTCCATGATTAGATAGGCTTGCTCCATCCATGCTTGCACACTATCCAAGAACGATCAGCTGCTCATTATAGCATTATGTCGTGTTGGGGCAGACTGCCAGGTACAGCCAGGTCCCAGGTACTGCCAGCTGCAAAGTGTCATAAGAATGAAAGCACAGCTACCTGCAAGTGCCTGCACAGGGCTTTTCAGCTAATGGTGATAGCAGAGTAGTGAAGGCACCATGACTGTAGAAGTGGCACTTAGGAGTGGTATAGACAAGTATGGGGAGAAAGTGATCAGTGTGTCACTATTTACTCTGTCTCTACCTGTTTCCTGCCTATATATTGTACCAGTTAAAAGTTTGTTGCCCGCATATTGTATATAATTACTCATCCTCTGGCTGGGCATTTTGAAATTCCCAAGATCTTGGAACTCTTGCAGCAATCCTTTTGGTGGCCTAGCTTAAAACAATTCTAAAAGTTCATGTTTTTTTTTTTTTCGGGGGGGGGGGGGATAACAAACGTGCTATTCTTGCCTACTGTGTGCAGTGGTTTTGCACAGAGCAGCCTGGATTCTCCTCTTCCGGGTCCCCCACAGGCTCTCCTGGCCCCGTACTCCTTTTGGGTGCCCCCAAAGCAAGCAGCCACTGCTCCGTGTGTCCATTCACACACGGACATGCGACTTGGCCCTATCCCCTCTCACTCCTCATTGGATGACTTTCTGTGAGTAACAATGGCTCCCGCTTGCTGTCTCAGGCAAATGGGGAGGCAGAGACCTGGGACAGACAAGGCTGTTGTTCACATAGCTGGATCGCGATGAGGCTCAGGTAAGTATTGAGGGGACAGGGCTGCTGCACACAGAATGTTTTTTACCTTTATGCCTAAAATGCATGAAGGTAAAAAACCTTGAGCCTTTACAACCACTTTAAGATCCAACTCTCAGAGCTACGTAAGGCCTGTGAAATATGTAAAAAAAAAAGCCAGGTTATAATATGCCCGAAAACACCTTAACATGGATCACCAGGCTTTTTTTGTGGCATTGGCGCAGTAAAGGCTTCTTTCTGGCAACTCAACCATGCAGCTAATTTTTGTTCATCATATTGTCTTCCTTCAAAACAACCACACCGTCTTTTTCCAGAGCAGTCTGTATTTCTCCTGAGGTTACCTGCGGGGTTTTTCTTTGCATCCCGAACAATTCTTCTGGCAGTTGTGGCTGAAATCTTTCTTGGTCTACCTGACCTTGGCTTGGTATCAAGAGATCCCCAAATTTGACACTTCTTAATAGGAAATTTAACAGTAATGGCTGACATATTCAACGCATTGGACATCTTCTTACTGTATATCCTTTTCCATCTATATAAAGTTACATTACCTCATTATGCATGTCTTTTTGACAATTCTTTTCTGATCCCCATGGCTCAATATCTTGCCTGCTCACTTCATCCACCTAAGAGCTAACAAACTCAGTGACTATTTATACACAGACACTAATTGCAATTAAAAAGCCACAGATGTGGGAAATTAACCTTTAATTGCCATTTTAACCTGTGTGTGTCACGTTGTATGACTGTACCATAGCCAAACATTCCAGGGTATGTAAACTTTTGATCATGGCCATTTGGGTGATTTCTGTTATCATTATGATTTAAAAAGGAGCCAACTATTTGATAATAAATGAATTCATATGATCATTATCCTTAAATAAAAGACAGTTGTTTGGCATGATCAGTCATATTTTCAATATCAATTATATAATTTCATGATTTTTGCCAGGGTATGAAAATTTTTGAGCAAAACTGTAGCTTCAGATGACGAGGGGACAATGCTTCTTCATTACTACTGAACTCAAAGCAGCATTCTCTGTACACTGTGACTATTTGCAATACAGTGGGATGAAAAAAAATGTTGCAGAGGGCGTGAATATCAGCATTGTCACTGCTCATACATAAGCCTGTAGCTTGTCAATCAGCAACTGGCACACCGAGCCCTGCCAACTGCTTTCTGGATAGACAGAACTAACCCTCCACCTGTTGTGTGCAAGTGTCTCGGAGGGTGAGCATGTGCCACACAAATTAAAGAGGATTGGCTGACTAAAGGGAGGTAAAAGCAGTTTTTTTTAATTTAATAAGGCTCTTGCACCACATAGTAACTGAATTGGAGACTTTTTTGGGCTGCCACGCAGGAGCCCTTAGATGTATTGTAATTATAGCTCTTATTTATATCAAGTACGTACATGGAAATCATATTGGTTTGGGTAAACCTGTCTTTACCTAAAATTCCCAGTTTGTTAGGGAAACCTGTCCAACAAGGTTGCATTCTCAGAGTCAAAAGGTTTACTTTATTAGAGTTAAGAGCTACTCCTTTAGCAAATAACCACTACAAATGAGTCAACATGAAATATCTAATAAAGGTCTCTAGGAAATCATGAAAATGGACTAGTCAAGCTAACATTACTTCAAATACAGTGTTGTTTTTCTGAAACATGTTAAACCTGTTTGACATGAACTAAGATAAATCTGTCATTCCTCAACTATGTAAGGTAGCAGGGAGGGGCTCACACAAAATATGAAATATGCATTACTGCAATGCTTCAGATATTTGCTTTTTACCTTGGGGAAAAGTTCATATGAGCAATGGAGGCATAGTGCAGCATTGCCTGCAGGCAATAAGCAACAGAGGGGTCTCATATTTAAGTGAAGTCATTACTTTGCTTGTATAACACAGAGGTCTAATTTAATGTGTCAAAAATATATATAAACAAAAAAATACAGTGCTCCATGTTAACCACTTGTCCTCCAGAGGATTTACCCCCCTTCCTGACCAGGCCATTTTTTGCTTTACGGCGCTGCGTTACTTTAACTGACAACTGCACGGTCATGCAATGCTGCACCAAAATGAAATTTATGTCATTTTTTTCCCACAAATTGAGCTTTCTTTTGGTGGTATTTGATCACCTGTGCTTTTTTTTTAATTTTTGCGCTATAAAAAAAAAAAAGGCCTGCAATTTTGAGAAAAAGAACAATATTTTTGACTTTTTGCTATTAAACATGTCCAGTAAAATAATTAAAAAATTCAAATTTCATCATAAATGTATGCCAAATGTATTCTGCTCCATGTCTTTGCTAAAAAAAAATCCCAATATGTGTAAATTGATTGGTTTACGTGAAAGTTATAGCGTTTACAAATGGAATTTTTTTATTTTTTTTTTTTACTAATAATGGCAGTGATCAGTGACTTATAGCGGGACTGCAGAAGGCATTCTGACACTGGGGGGAACTGACTTGGTGTCACTGACATCCCCTGTAACACCAATATAGTGATCAGTGCTAAAAAAAAAAGCACTGACACTGTACTAATGGCACTGGGCAGGAAGGGGTTAACAGGAGGGGCGATCAAAGGGTTAATTGTGTGCTGGGAGTGTTTTACTGGGGGGCGGTGTGTAGGTGCTTCTTCATAAGCACACTGCTTTGCACAGCCATTCAGAGCAGTGTGACTGAGCCGACAGGGGGGAGGACTGGTAGGAAACAAAACAGCCCTCCTCCCCATCGGAGAGTCTTAGTAATCTTTGGGCGGCGGTGGGTAATCACCGGCCGAGACCCGGTGGTTGACAGCTGTGGCCACGAATGCAGACGTGGGTAGGTACGTGGCTCACGTGCGCCCCCTACCCGGAAATGCAAAATCTTGTATATATACATGGTTTTGCGCACCCCGCCGCCCTATAGCAGATATACTACATCTCCAATAATAATACCCAATAAATGATTAATTAATACATAAAGTGTAAACATATATAAAGTGCAAAGTTATACAACTGCAAAAAGCATATAAAGTGCATTAGTTGTTGTTAGTGCCTTGTCCATCCAAAAATTCCTGTGCAAATCAAATGAAAAAGTCCTTCACACAGTGCAGTTTTGCCACCATAAATCCAGGTACTTTAAGATACTTTTTTTTTTCTTTTACATATTTACTCAGTGACACCTGTGTTTATTATGTCATTTGGCCCATTTGAGTAGTACTCAGTGGGGTTGATTTACTAAAGGCAAATAGGCTGTGCACTGCAAGTGCACTTGGAAGTGCACTCCAAGTGCACTGAAAGTGCAGTTGCTTTAGATCTGAGGGGAACATGCAAGGAGAATGAAAAAACAGCAGACATTAGAAGACATTATAAACACTCTTCGCAATGCTTACCCTCCTTCAAACGACTGTCCGATCAACCACTGGTATGACTCCAACTTGGACATCTTTGCTTTCTGGTGGGCAATATTATGCAATTTTCTGCAGCAAAACACTCCCAAAAAACAACAAATTATTTGCACCCTTCATAAACTTATCAATATAAAAAAGCTGGGTATGCAAAAACACAAATGAAACAATACTAAAAAGTTTTTCATTGCATGGACCCCCTTTATGATTTACACACGGTGCAAGTAACATCATAAAGAGCTTGTTTCAGCTTTTAGAAACCCTGTCTGGTATTACATAAAGAAACTTTCAAAGATTTGTGTTGCTTTAGACCTAGGTGATGACTCAGTCCTCCTTACAGTCCAACTATAAGGACTTACCCTGTCTTCCCCAAGGTGTCCTGTCTGGCCTGCTTCCTAGAGCTCTGCCACTGTTACCCATCCTGCTCCCTACACTGACTATCCTGTTTCCTGCGCACATGCTGCTCAGTGCCCTGTATACCAGGCAACATGGCTGCACTCTCACTTGTCCTCACCTTCAGTTGGCCTCTGGATTTTGTTTCTCAGGCAATGGAGTCAAGGACCATACTGTCAGCATCTTGTTGCCTTGCAATGTGGCCATTTTCTAACTCTCCTTCCATTTTGTTTTAGGATATGGCACAGGGACACGATCAGTTGCTTCCAGCTGCCATTGCGTTTTGCTCCTGGGGTGTTCCTGTGCCCTTAAGGAGGAGCAGGCTCCTTCCAGGCATACCTCTCTTAGATTAGAGTTGGAACTGCACTCTACAGAGGGACCTTGATGAGGCAATGCAGCTTCCACTTATATTTGCAAAAGTTGTCCAAGTAAAACTTCTGTTTATAATACAATTTTTTTTTGGCAGACTAGCTGGTAAATGTGCTGGGAAATACATTCTAATTGTTTGTTGCGTTCAAAGCCCTTGCATGTGTGCCTTGCTCCAAGCAAATGATCAATTGGGTCATTTGCCACATTTGTTTTACTGTTGCCTACTTGTTTTCTATTGGCCTTCTGTGCTTTGATGCCTGATTTAAACCTTACAAGTTCAGTACCCAGGGCATGTGATAGGTTTCCCCAGGAATCTCATTAGCTGTTCCTTTTCTGACTCTGTACCCTGACCTGCCTACTATCCTTTTTTTTTAAACATTTTTTATATTGCAAAAGTAAGCAAAGTACAAAAGAATATGTCTCATTTCAAAAGTGTACATAATGGCATGTATATCCAAACATGGACAAAAAAAATCAATAAAAACAATAATCCAAAAACAAAGCAGGGCTTGTATCAGTTCTGTTCAAATAAATGGAACATACAGATTAACGCGTATTATAACAGCTTGAAATATGGCTATCTATCCACTCACAAACTGTCATAGAGCCAGAGATTTATTATTCGGATGCAATAGTGAGATTAGACGAGCACTGAGCATCCCACACTTTATTATAGTTTTGTGGGCATCCCCTGTGTTCATATAGAACCTTCATTTATGACTGAAGTTAGTTAACATCACAAAGCCACTTAATGGCCATTTGTTTGCGAGCTAGGAATAAGGTCTCTCCTAGGAATGTCCTGGCATATCTAGACCATTGTTCTTCATTGAATAAACCCAGGAGACACCTCCGGAATAAGCGCCACTGACACAGAGAGAAGTTGAGAAAGTAGGTCCATGATTTGAGACTAATTTTTTTCTTTTTTTAAAGTCCGCAAACATGCAAACTACAACGAAAAAAAAAAACCTGTAAGTGAATCACAAAAAAAGTGCAAGTGCAAAACACCACACGAAAAAGTGCACTTAGGGGTGTGCTTGTGTCCTACCCCTAAAGTGGCTTGGACCGCTTACCCTGATCCCCCGGGGCACGAAGCTCCTTTCGGGGACAAGGTTTCCCAATTGGTCCTCCTGGCCAAAAGGCCTGGTGGACCACCTTTCCTTGTGTCCAGCCGAAGCCAGACACTCAGTACTTGGTCAGGGGACTCCCCCGAAGAAGAGTCCCCTAGGGATCAGGGGAGGAAGGAACCAAAAGGCCACACATCCTCCCCCTAGACTTCAGGGTAGGCCCGAGGACCCACACCCTACCATCCAGTGAAAACACACGCATAAGCAAAGAAAGAGTGACAAACGTGGGAGGTGTTAAATTAAATAAATAGAAAATAAAAAAGTGGTACCGTGCCAAATTGTGCACAGACCAGGCCCTGAGGCCCGTAGCAAAAATTGCCCTGGACTTAGCCAAAAGGCCTGGTCCTTAGGGCACTGTGCAAAAAGAATGTAAAAACAGTGACCATGTGCCATGTTCACACAGTGGGGTCCCACACCCAGGTGTTACTAGTGGCACCCCTGAGAGCGTCTACTCAGGGGGCACCGAGTTTGCAGACTTTCTGCCTCCTCAGCCCCTGGCCAGACCGAGGTAGATCTGTTCAAATCAGGAGGTACTGGGTCCTTCCAGTTTTCTCAGGGGAATTACTCCCAGGGCCCCAGCTTAACGTGTGGCGCTCCCCGGTTTCTGTCCCCCCGACACTAGCCTTCCAGACCCCCATCATACCAGTGAGGGTACTATACAACAGCCATCCCCGCAAAGCTAGAATGGCCGGGAGCACCCCCACTGGACACTGATAAGAACAGATACTACACTTGATCTTAGCCAAAAGGCCGAGAAGCGATTTGAGACTAATTTTTTTTTTTTTTTTAAGTCCGCAAACGTGCAAACTACAACGAAAAACCCGTAAGTGTTTCACAAAAAAGTGCAAAAAACACCACACAAAAAGTGCACTTAGGGGTGTGCTTTGTCCTACCCCCGAAGGGGTTGGACCACTACCCTGATCCCCCGGGGCACAAAGCTCCTGACAGGGACAAGGTTCCCATTTGGTCCTCCTGGCCAAAGGCCTGGTGGACCACCGTTCCTTATGCCCAGCCGAAGCCGAACATCCAGTACTAGGCCAGGGGGTTCTCCCGAAGAGAAAACCCCCTAGGGACAGGGGAGGAAGGAACCAAAAGGCCACACATCCTCCCCCTAGACTTCAGAGCAGGCCCGAGGACCCACACCCTCCATCCTGTGAGGAAAACACACACATAAGTAAAAGTGACAAACATGGGGTGAGAAAAAGAAATAAATAAATAATTAAATAATCTATAAAAATAATAAAAAAGTGGTCGTGACCAAATTATGCACTGACCAGGCCCTGAGGCCTGTAGCAAAAAAAATTGCCCAGGACTTGGCCAAAAGGCCCGGTCCTAGAGGCACAGTGCAAAAAGTGTTTTAAACGCGGTGACCATGTGCTCATTCACAACGTGGGGTCCCACACCCAAGTGCTACTTAGAGCACCCCTGAGGCGTCTACTCAGGGGGCACCGTGTTTGCGGACTTTCTGCCTCCTCAGCCCCTGGCCAGACCAAGGTAGATCCGTCCAAATCAGGAGGTACTGGGTCTTTCCAGTCTTCTCGGAGGAATTACTCCCAGGGCCCCAGCTTAACTAGTGGCGCTCCCCGGTTTCTGTCCCTCCGGTACTAGCCTTCCGGACCCCCATCATACCAGTGAGGGTACTATACAACAGCCATCCACGCAAAGCTAGAATGGCCGGGAGCACCCCCACTGGACACTGATAAGAACAGATACTACACTTGGGTGTCCGTTTGTGAACCAGAGGTAATAGATCGCTGCTCAGTTCTCCGGCATTCTCGGAGAACAAAGTTCTCCTGTGAATGCAGTTTATGAAGCAGTTCTCCGAACGAAGGAGAGAACGGTTTCCAAACGCTGGATAACGGTCTACAAACTGTGAAAAACGGCTCATTTTACTATAATCTCTCCAGATTATAGTAAAAAGACCAGTTTACTAAGCAGAGGTAAATTATCTCTGCTTAGTTTTCGGTCCCTCTGATTCTCCAGCTCTGGGCTGGAGAATCTGGACGGAGAACACAGATCTCCAGAGAAGGGCTGACATGATCTCCTGAGTGTATATAAACTGTGAATGACCAGAGAATAGCTGAGATCCGTTAAATCGCAGCTATTCTCTGGTTCACAAACGGACACCTTGATCTTAGCCAAAAGGCCGAGAAGCGATTTGAGACTAATACGTATGTTACAAATGATGGACCAAATCAGATGGTTGAATTTGGCACCCTCCTGTCCACAACGCAAACCAGCAGAGGCACGGATTCTACCCATTGCGTGCAAATGCACTGGTGAAGGGTAGGTTTTGATGAACAATATACAGCTGAGTGAGTTTGTTATTAGCTGCTGGAAAGACCATAAGATGGGATGCACAGGCCTCTTCCCAATCCTCATCAGTCAAATCAGTACAAAGTTCTTGCCAGCGTGCACTAGCTGGAAGCAATGCTATGCAGATTTTTATGTACTGGCCCTTTTGCCTGTTTTTTAATCATGTCTTTGATTGCCACCTGGTCCAACCCTTTAAGTGATTACTGACCACTGCTTTTGCCTGCTGCCTGGACAGAAGTCCTTGCCTATTTACTGACCATGTCTTACAACTGAATGAC